CAATGATGCTACGAGGAGAGGGGAGAGGCGTTGCAGGAACCAAGGGACTCTCCTTTACGGGTTTCACTCGACTCACATGAAAAGTAGGATGGATCTTCATGGTCCTAGGCAATCTTAATCTCACAGCCACAGGGTTAACAACCTTTGAGATGGGAAAGGGGCCAATGAAACGAGGAGCCAACTTACGGGATTCGACGCGCAGTGAGAGGTCGCGGTTGACCAGCCAGACCTTCTGACCTTCTTTGTACTGAGGGGCGGCGGATCTCCACAGCCCTCTTGTAAGCCATGGAGTTGCAAAGGAGAACCTGACGAGCCCTGGTCCAAGTCCTGCGACACCGCCACACCAAAGCTTGGGCCGAGGGGACCCCACCTTATTCTCTAAGGCAGGAAACAGGAGTGGTTGATAACCATAGGCACACTGGAAGGGAGTCAGTCCTGTGGAGGCACAGGGCAGGGTGTTGTGTGCATATTCCACCCAAATAAGGTGTTTACTCCAGCTGGAGGGGTTGTGAGAAGCCAAACAACGCAGGCCGGTCTCCAGCTCTTGATTGAGCCGCGCAGCTTGACTGTTGGTTTGGGGGTGGTATCCCGAGGACAAGCTGACTGTAGCACCCAACAACTTACAGAAAGCCCTCCAGAACCTGGAGATAAACTGAAGGCCCCGGTCTGACACCACATCACTGGGATGTCCGTGCAACCTGAACACATGGGATAACATATCTGTCGTTTCTTTGGCAGAAGGGAGTTTAGCCAACGGAATGAAATGTACCATCTTGGAAAATCTGTCAACAACAGTCAGGATAGTAGTGTTACCTTCAGAGGGGGGGGAGTCCTGTAACAAAGTCCAGGGAGATGTCAGACCAGGGCCTAGATGGAACAGGGAGGGGCCTGAGGAGTCCAGCAGGTGGTTAATGAGACACCTTATTTTGTGCACACACAGGACAGGCTGAAACTTACTCTCTCATTCCACCTCCATGGAAGGCCACCAAAACCGCTGTTTAACTGCAAACAAAGTCCTTTTGACTCCGGGGTGGCAGGTGAGAACTGAGGCGTGCGCCCAATGGATAACCAGAGACCTTAACTCGGGGGGAACATACAGACGGTTAGGTGGGCAACATCAAAAAGGCGAGACAGAGCATCAGGCTTGACATTCTTTGAACCAGGACGATATGAAAGCTTGAAATTAAACCAACCGAAGAAAAGAGCCCACCTGGGTTGACGAGAATTCAGTCTCTTTGCAGTGCGTAGGTATTCTAAGTTCTTATGGTCGGTCCATACCAGGAATGGCTGCGCTGCCCCCCCTCCAGCCAGTGTCTCCACTCCTCCAATGCCGCTTTGATGGCCAAAAGCTCACGGTTGCCACATCCTAATTTCTTTCTGCAGGGGACAACTTGCGAGACATAAAAGCACAGGGGTGGAGCTTACCATCCTGAGGACTGTCCTGGCACAGGACAGCTCCAATGCCCACATCAGAAGCGTCCACTTCAACCACAAACTGCTGACCGGGATCTGGTAACACCAAAACTGGAGCAGCGATGAAACTGTTCGTCAGCTTCTGGAAGGCAGAATCAGCTTGAGGCGTCCAAACAAACCTAGTCTTGGAAGAAGTGAGAGCATGCAAGGGAGCAGCAACCTGACTAAAGTTTCTGATAAACGTCCTATAAAAATGGGCAAATCCCAGGAAGCGCTGCACCTGCTTGCGATTAATTGGCACCGGCCAGTCCTTAACTGCTCTCACTTTTTCTGAATCCATGCTCATCTCCCCCTCAGCCACCACATGACCCAAATATAACACCTTGGGGACGTGAAACTCACATTTCTCTGCCTTCACGTAAAGCTGATGATCTAGGAGGCGCTGCGGCACCCTGCGGACCTGCTGCACATGGGTCTAAAGGTTGGGAGAGAAAATGAGTATGTCATCCTGATATCCTGATATACAAAGACACTGAAAAACGGCTGGAGCATTGGTTAGTCCAAACGGCATCACCAAATATTCATAATGTCCACTAGGAGTGTTAAAAGCAGTCTTCCACTCATCCCCCTCCCTGATCCTCACTAGATGGTAAGCATTCCTCAAGCTTAGTGAAGATCTTTGCCCCTTGCAACAGTTCAAAAGCAGAGAAGGGAGGGGGTACCTGGTTTTCACTTTGATGTCATTAAGCCCACGATAATCAATGCAAGGCCGGAGCGACTTGTCCTTTTTATCCACGAAGAAGAAGCCCGCCCCTGCGGGGGGACGAAGAACGCCGGATGATTCCAGCAGCCAAGGCTGAGTCATTGTATTCCTTCATTAAAACTAAACATTTAAATTCCAGTGAAACGATAACTGCAATATAAATTAAAATATTTGGTTCAACTTCTCCCCTAAGATGATAAGACACAGCGGTAACTGCCTAACCTTTAAAATTGTCAAAAATCGACTGGCTCAGCTTTGTCTGAACACTTAATAGTTGGCTCACTGAGGTAAGTTTGCACTTCAATGCATGCACATGTGGTGGTTGACTAAAGAGCAGCTTCTACTGTGTGTGAACATTAAAATAAAACATAAAACACCACTATACACAGTAGCGGCTTGGCCATCTGGAGTACCGTGACAAATCCCAGTGGGCCACCTTCTTTAGCCTAAACATTTTTACTAATACTGAAGAGGTTGAGCAACACGAGCCAAGCCCCCTTCTCCCCTGGCCTGTTGGTCTATTCCATATGAACATCTGTGCAGCCCTTAGCCCCACCCCATCCATCTGAAATGAAAAAAGCAACCGACTCGTTCTGTAGTCGTACTGGTACCAGGGCCACAGACGCTAAAACCAGGAAGAGAAAGATGCCACAGCCCGGTTCACGGGTGAAAGATTAAACAGAGAGGACAGCGAAGCCACAGATAGTGCAGCTGAACCGTACAGTGTTAACATACATCGATTTATTTGTGGTGGCCCACCTCAATATCAACGCTGAACGCCACATATTGATTTTCAATTGTTTTTTACTAGGACTATTCAAAATCTCTGCACAGCTGGGCGCAGCACATGTATTCGCGCAGCACCTTATCTCTCTCCACTGCACAAATCTCTCCAACACAACGCTGTCAATGTTGGAGACCCACCACTTTTCAGCTCAAAGCGACGGACGTTTTCATACGTGCAGTAATGTCACAGTTAATATCGTGGGACATGTATGCAGCAAAACAAAAAAATTGTTTAAAACTTGACAGGTCAGACAGAAGAAACTCTGCTTAGTTGCTCAGTATGGATCAGGTGTGCGGCTGCTGTACTTCAAACAGTGTCTCTGTATGAACCTGGACCGATTGGATGTGGAGAAGAACACAGCATATTATTTAACATCCTGATGATCCTGTCAGCTTGTCAGGAGATTTAAATATGAAGTTATGCTGCTGTGGCTCATGCGTAAATGCACACAGCGTCTCTATTCATGGGGAGACGCTTCACCCTGTTTCACCCACCCTGAAATTCGCTAAACATATTTATCGCCCAAAACTCTTTGTATTCTGATTTGTCACCGGCCACATGCATGTTGTTTCCCTTCATATAAATGGAGACATTTCCACCATAAATTGGTGCAGAAAATGTCTCTAGAATGCTTTATTTTTTGTTTAATGCTCAAAATCCTCTGGGGGAGGCCCCCCAAACCCCACAATCAAACAGCCTATTCCATCAATGAATATTTCTTCAAATTAGCATTGGAGTATCTTGTTGTCTTGTTCTCGTGACTCCAATATTGTGCATTCTCATTTCTACTGGACTAAGTGTTTTGTCACACCACTAATATGAGGCCTTAAATGTCCCCACCACTTTCCAATACAAAGTGACGCCCTTGTTTAATCAGCTGCGTCCACATGGTCCTAAAGCTTTTATTTAATTTGAGCTTGTTATCAATGGTTTTTATTCAAATTACAGAGGTCCGGATCTCGGTGACCTCATAGCTGGTTACGGCCATACCTTTTTAAAGTACTAGCCTACTGCCATAGTGATCAATGGCTGTGATGCTGCTAGGTGGTTCATTAGAGGCTGGTCCTGTTTGTACGTGTGTGCATTAGCAGGGGGTGGCCGTGGTGGATTATACAATAGACTGTTCTGGTGAGCTGGCCTGGATCAAAGTCCAGGGCCATTTTTAACCCCCAGTCCGTCCCCGACTATACATAACATATAATATATGAGACATGCCCATTCATGCCTCCTGCTTCTCTCTTCTGTTTGAGAGAACTGACATTACAACCTCTTACGCTGCACTTCCATGCCTGTAAAAAATTAAAGAAGAAATGTGAGGTTGTATTTCATTGAGATGTCTTGCAATGGCACTGGTTACATCTTTCCTCCTAATGGAGGGAGATCTCCTGTGAGATATTTGGCATGCTGGCAGTTTATGCAGGATTATGCAGGATCCACTACTCCACTTTGTTTCTGTTAGAGACTTCAAAAAATGACCTGAATGTGGCTGGCCTGAAGCGCCATATGCCCAGCCCATTTTTGTGTGGGTTCTCCTTTGGTTGATATGTATATGATTGGCTGTCTTTGATACTTTTTAAAAAGTTTTTGCTTCATGGCCATCATATTTAAATGATCTATAATGTGTTGTATGATGACCCTGATGAAGACCACAAGCTTAAACACGTTGATTAGACAATTAAGTAATTCGTTATTCTACAGGTTTTACAGGACTTCAGATTTTCCCCTTCTCCATGCACCTATAAGTGATGAAGTCGTGCAATAAAACCCTACTAATAATTTTTTTAACCACTCAAGGCCTAAAAATATCCAGATATCCAACAAAATGGCATGATAGTGGTTAAGCTCTACAGCTCAGCTTGTCCGCCCAGCTGACACACAAAAGATATCATAATAAACTGTGCTTAAAACTACATTATGTATTTGTTGTTTTCTGTTCAACAGTTACTTCTTCTGAAATCAGATTCTCTGACAGTTGAGCCTGTTGAGATTGTACTTTTGTTTTTCTTTTGTTGAACTCAGAGCCTCTCTGTCTCTTGGGAACTGCAAATCAGAGAAACAGGAAGAGGAGGAGGCTCTGACTTGCATATTTTAAATTTGGTCTGATGCTCAGACAGTCAGCAGCAAGACAAAATGCCGGTGACAGCGCTCTGCTTCAGACTGTGTGAGTCCCGAGTCTGTTGACAAACAGATATTGAGTTAATCAATGTTATATAACAGATGTGAAACATAGTTTCAATAGTCAATAGTTTCTTGGTATTAATTATTCAAAATGCATTGATGTACTTTGCACATGTTCTCTCTGGAAGCTGGTAGATTTAAAGCTGTAATCTACTCACTGATAAACTCTCCAATGATGGACGAAATATTACATTCACATGTTACAGCTATGTTATACTGTATATGTTATATGTTAATAGTAAACAGCTCTCTTGTCTCTCCAGTGATGACTGCGTTGTTGCTGCTGGTTGGACAAGTTGACGTCAGTTATCCACGAAAAGCTGGTAAGAAGCAGATAATCATAACAATTTGGTGTTCATGTTGGGTCATGTTAAAAAATACGTCTTAAATAAGCTTCAACTATATCACATCATCCCCAACTTGACAGCTCTATAATTGATGTAGTCATGGAAATTTGGGGACCTAAAAACAGAGTCATGGGCTGCAAAAGATTAACAGATGACATATTAAAACTTTTAAACTTCACACTCAAATGAGAATACCAATAACAAACTTGTAATAAACCAAAAGGTAAATACATTTATTCTTTCAACATTAAGAGAATGTCATCACGTAATGCTTCTCCAAATTCAAGTCTGTTGGAAAATCTGTATGAACATGGTAAAATTATTTGAATATTTTTGTTGCAAACAATCATATTTATGTGTCGCTACATTCACAATAGGACAATAACGTTTTTTGAAACTTTTGCCTAATGAATTAAGACCATGTCCATGTCCATTTATTACGATAAACTATCATGAATTAAATATTATGTTGTTAGAATCAAAGTTACTTAATTTACTTTAAATGTTTGTTTTAACACATCTCATTCTTTGTGTCTCTGTCTCAGATGTAGGTTTTCCTCAGGTTGTTCCAAACAGACAGCAGCACTTTGAGTATGAGTCCATTGTTGTCAGCTGTGAGGGGCTGGAGGGATTGACTGGATGGAGAGTGATGAGGAAGATCAAAGGATCTGTTAGAACATGTGCTTCTATCTGGTCGACATCAACAGGACCCTGTCAAATTAAAAATGCCTTTCCAGGACCTGAAAGTGGAGAATACTGGTGTGAAATTGGAAGGAAGAAAAGCAACATTATCAACATCACTGTCACTGGTATCCAAGTAGTCAAACACCTTAGTCCCCCTTTTAAAAAAAAGTTAATTTATTTGTGAAAATTAATCACATGTGTAAGTCAATGGACTTTTTCATATTCTGTGTGACTTCTGTCACTTTCTGAAGATATCATTATAAACTGTAAATAAACTGTATAAGGTACTTATCCAAAGTCAGTGATGGCGGTCGGCGGGTTCCAGTTTGGACAAGTAGAAAGTTGTACAAGCAAGTAAGCTGAGCAGTGTTCGGCGTTGGACAGGGTCACCTGCAAAATGGATTTTGGCCCATGAAGTGTTTAATATTTTAGGGCTTCCTTTACGCAGTGCGCAGCCAAGTTGTGCTTATGCATAGGAATTTTAATGTTTCTGAAATATGTTTTTCAGCTGGTTCAGTGATCCTGGAGAGTCCTGTCCTTCCTGTGACGGAGGGAGACAATGTGACTTTGTGCTGCAGAACGAAGCAGACGTCCACTAATCTCAACGCTGAATTATATAAAGACGGCCACTTCATGGAGAGCAGCTCTACAGGAAACATGACCATCCACACTGTTTCCAGGTCTAATGAAGGACTCTACAAGTGCAGAATCTCTGGAGCTGGAGAATCAGCAGAGAGCTGGCTGACGGTCAGAGGTAAGACTTAATTTCATGTCCAGTGATGCTTTGTACCTTACCTTTGTTGAGCTCCATGTATAGAAGTATTACAAATGCCTACATGTAACAGATTGTGCCCTCCTCTGCAGTCTATCAAAAGAATTGATGAATTGAGAATAGTGGGGGTAATAAAGCTTAAATTCTTAAAACCTGAGGACTTTGGCCTGGGTCTCTGATATGTTTGAAGTTTTGGTCTGAAAAATTGAAGTTTTGGTCTGAAAAATTACAGTGTTGTGATTGGTGACTGAGAACTGAAGATGAGGTCTGAGGAGGTTAAACTTTACATTTTTAGATACATTTTTAATGTTAATTAAGCAAATGACATAGTAATTGTTTTAATAGTTTTAAGTATTATATTGATAATTAAAAACATGTATTTTACAGCATTAGGATGTCTCATGTGAAGCACATATGATTATTTTTCCAGAAGCTCATGAAGAGCCTCAGCCTCCCTCCCATCATGCCCCTCAGCTCTATCTGCTGCTCAGCGTTGGTGTCAGTGTTTTCTTGGTGGCTCTGATGCTGGTTGTCGGATTACTGCGATGTGGGAAACATCAAACGATCATCACAGGTACACAGAATAAAAATAGAGAAACCACTTGAAACAAAGTATGTTGAAAGTTGGCTCCTCATTGTAGAATGTGACGACTGTGACGAAACACAATGTTACTAACTTACAGCAAACATGCCAATAAGCACCAAAGCTTTGTGGTTCCTGGTGGCCATCACACTGTTTACATTGTTTTTATTTTATTCAAACAGGTACCACAACCTCTCCTTCCTCGTTCCAGACGTCCCCTTCTCCACAAACAGGTGAGAAACACCAACCTCCTTCCTACATGACTATGCATTTGTCACTGTGTAAATTATCCCAGGTGGTAAGGTGAGATAGGACAATTACCTACCTTTCCATCAGCTTACACAGCCATTAAATCCATTTAGTTCTAACATTTCAAATCTTTGCATGGTAAAAGGACATGTAAAGTTAGGTCCTATAGAAATATTGCAAGTTTGACCCTTCTGGAAATGATGCAGGAAACTGACACTGAAATTTTATTTTATGCAGATTAGATTAGTGTAGGCTAATGTATTATCAACAGGCCTTCCAAAGCACAACAGACAAAAAGAGAGTTTATCAGTCCAGTTCTAGCCAGCCACAATAGATATATATAAAGCTCTTCACAACTAGGAACCACAATATTTTGTCATATGTGTCCATTTAATGCATCCATGTTAATCTATGCATCAGCGAAAGTGTGTGTACACACTTATTTGAGATTCAGAAAGGGTTTCCAAGTATACAGTAAGAAAATATTTTGCATTTATAATTTTTTTACAGCACATAAATGTTCTGAAGGTGACGTCTGAAATGTACAATTTCAAAACAGTTCGTCAGTTTGCATAAAATATTAAACAAGTATTACAATGTTAAAATAAAAATATAATAATATTTGATATAACATAATATTTATGATGTCACGTCCCCACCCCTTCCTGCTTCCTCTTCCTGCAGGAGGCTGCAGGCAGGGAGGCTGATTGGGCTGGGCAATCACCTGTGCAGCTCTTCCTTCAGAGCTTATTTAGTCAGGACTGATCAGTCTTGTGTTCTCTCTTCTCCTAAGCATCCTAGCGGGTTTGTCTTGTGTCTTTCTTTTGGTTTATCCTGGCAACACACACACATCTCACTCATCTATTCACTGCTGACACAACTGATAGTCATACTTTGCCACAACACATATTTTTGTGGATTAATTTACTTTTACTTGTACAATAAATCACCTCTTTAGCATGCAAACCTGTTGTGATCCTCACTTCCTTTTTGTCACAGGCCATTTTGCTTTGGAAGTAAATTAATTTGTCTTGCACCAGTTTGATTTTAAATAATTATCTGTCTATCTACCTACCTGCTACTTATGTGTAGAGTGATGTATTTTTGTTATGTTTCAGTGTCTGGAGAGGCTCACGTAGCTGATCCGATGCAGGCAACATACTCTGTAGTCACAAAACCCAGGAACGAGAATGGTAATTCACTTAATTATACACAGAAAGCATAAAGGAGCACCTTTCATCAAGTAATAAAGAAGCTATAAAATGAAAATGTACTACTGAGTACCAAAGTTGACCTTCTTTCAGGCTAAAGTTTGCAGCAATGCTTGTGAACCTGCAATGCTTTGGTGTCACAACAAAATGGCCTATTTAAACTACATATGACCGTGTGTGTGTGTTTCAGGAGCTTTAGGCACTTTTGACAGTTTGACCTGCTGTTTTAGCATCTCAGACAAAAACCACACGAGAAACCCACAGACAGAAAAAGGTAGATGGGCCCCTCGGTTCAGCTTTTGTGTTGGCTGCCTTGGGGGAAGCTGTTGAAAATAATACACGACGATGCATGGTTGAGCCACAACAAGTACTTTAAGCCGCATTGCAGCCTAATTAGTTGTGTGCGTAAGTGAGTAGATGGTTAGTATTTTATAAATAAAACAACAGGGCCGCATTTCTAATCAGAGGACTCATGTACTGTAATAAATTTGAACCCTTATTTTATCACAGATACATTTTGATAGATGCACCTGTATTAACTTAAATAACACAGAATGAGCACTTTTCATAAAAGAGCAGGTCTAGACCGTACTCTATGATGCTATTTACAGAAGCCCAACAGTTCCCACCAAGAGCAAGCACTAGGCGACAGAGGCAAGGAAAAACTTCCTTTTAAGAGGCAGAAACCTCGAGCAGAACCATGGCTCAGGGTGGGCGGCCATCTGCCTCGACCGGTTGGGGTGAAGGAGAGAGAGAGAGAGAAAGAGAGAGAGAGAGGGATGTAAGGAGAGAGAGAGGGGAGGGAGGCAGCCTACACAATATACACACAGAGGTACAGACAGTAAAGGTGATGTTGCTATAGACTAAATGAAAAATAGTACAAATATTTATAGTAGTGTTAATGATAACAATTGTAATGTTAATGATTATAACAACAATAATAACAATAGGACTAGTAACAATAGTTGCAGCAGAGGGTGTCGAGCAGGAACACGGGGGCAGCAGGTGACCCGCAGCCACAGATCCAGACTCCACAGCTCCAGAGCCAGAAACACCTGCAGGAAGTGATAGGAGGAGAGAGGAGAGGGACGAGAAAGCACAAGACTACCAGAAAGGGGAGAAGTTGTGTTAGTAACATGCAATAATGGGATGAGGTTGCATACAGAGGGAGAGAAAGTAGAGGAGAGAGGAGCTCAGTGCATCATGGGAAATCCCCTGGCAGTCTAGGCCTATAGCAGCATAACTAAGGGATGGTTCAGGACTACCTGAGCCAGCCCTAACTATAAGCTTTATCAAAGAGGAAAGTCTTAAGCCTACTCTTAAATGTGGAGATGGTGTCTGCCTCCTGAACGCAAACTGGAACCTGGTTCCACAGGAGAGGAGCTTGATAGCTGAACGCTCTGGCTCCTAGTCTACTTTTGGAGACTCTAGGAACCACAAGTAACCCTGCATTCTGGGAGCGCAGTGCTCTGGTGTGAAAAAAGTATTTCATAGAAAAATAGGCCAATAATTGCACCCTTTGGTACTCCACATGTAAGCAGCAGAGCACAACAGATATAACTGGACAGTTTTCAAATAATTGTCCAGTAATGAATTTATGTATGTCTCTGGCTCGCCAACATTTTCTCTCTGTCAGATGAAGATGAATCCTTGCTTATACATGTTTACCACACCTTACGCCTGGGGGAGGAATACAATGTGTGTTTGACTACTGATTTGCTGGGGGGAAAAAGTGTGGCCTCTGGGATGGCAGGTGACTAACATGTGCTATAGGAAGCTAATAAACCTAAAACACAACGTTAGCCTTTTCAAGTCCATAATACAGTTAAATAATATTTTATATCTGATGACAGGATTTTTAAAATGCATAAATTTCCCAACAAGAGTTGTCTTCCTGGCAGCATGGAGAATGTTTTGAAACAGCATTTAAACCCCTGTTGGGAAATAATTATTTGAATGTTCAGCTTTTAGGTAAATAAAGAATTAACTGTTTAATCTGTCTCCAAAATAGATCCAGGAGCTCCGGGCTTCTTAGCGACACCAGTTCTTTCTGCAGGTACCAACCCACTGACAGAAGAGGATCACTTCTATCATGCAATCAATGACGTAAGACTGAGGGTAACACTGAGTTGAGAGAATGGGTTATGTCACATATAGGGGGCTGTATGCATCTTAATTGATCTTTAACTATATGTTTAAGCCACAGTTCAGATACATTACAATAAACATGAGAGTTAATATTTTAACAATCTTTTTAAAACTATAGTCTTTGTATGTTGTTTGTGTTGCAGGATACCGAGAGCAGAGACGCCTGACTGAAGGAGGGAGGAGAGACTATTTAAAGCTCTGCAGTGTGTGCAACAGTTACAGCTGTTAAATGAACGCAGCAGCCTTTAATGACTGCGGACATTTCGTAATATATAAAAAATTTCTCTATGCAAGAATGTTTTCAAATTGTATGCATTTTAAAAAAAAAAAAGCACTTTCATAGTTTTGTATGATCATGACATAAGATAATGACAAATTTCTGTGCTTATAACAAATATGTTGAATGAACAGTTATAATACTGCAGTTATGTATATTTGTAAAGATAGTCTTAGAAGTTGAGTCTTTATACGTAACAATGTTGGACTTGTTATGAAGCTGATAGACATGATTCGTCATCATTGCCATTATGGTGAGAGAACTTCAGCTATCTCACAGCATCAGTGTCTATTTTAAGATCCACCAGTTTATTGCATTTAAACCACATTGACCCTCTTCACCCATCGGAAGACACTGTTTACAAGAGGAGAGACTCACTTTGGCCTCCTTGATCAAACTGTGTGTCAAATGTTAATATTAATTCAAAAGTTGGTTTGAATATTAATGTTCATCAGCACATTATCAAGAAGTCAGAATATAAAAATACTGTCAACACAAGATCAGTGAATGAAACGACTAATAAATGCCGTTGCGTCATTATGTAAAAATTATTGTGTTATGATCCACAGTATGGAAATCTATAAATTAAAAAAGGTTCCACGTCACCTTTAAAAATGCTAAATTTAAATATTACAACAAAAAAGTTGCCTTCCTCTTGTGTCACTGTGTAAATCACTTCCTGTCACTCATTACTTTCCCCTTTCACTTATGTTTGGTGTAGTTAACTCCCTGTCTTTGTGTTTGATTATGTTTTTCTTTTTAACTTTGTTTCTTAACTTTGTTTCCTGTCGTTTCTGTCCACTTTTTTGTCTCATTATCTCATCCTCATTAGGGTATTTAGTTGGTCTGTTTGCCCCACTCTGTGCTAGTTCACTGATGTCTTTTGACCCATGTTCAGCCATTTTTCCTAGTGTTACTTTCCTGTTTTTTGCGCTTTGGATTTTGAACATCAGACTTTGGATTTGTTTCCTTGTGTTGGACTGTTTTCCTGTTATTATTGTTTAATATCTCTGCCTGTTTAAGTTTTTGCTCCTGATTTCTCTTTTTTTTTTACTTAAATCATTGAACTACATCTGCTCTGCCTCCATTGTCTGCAATTGGGTCCTGTTCCTGTGTTCCATGGTTTGGCTATATGTGATTACATAGTTGTATTTTCAGCTTTAAATGATACAAGGAACAGTCACACCACCAGTAACATAACAAACAACTTCTCACAAGCTGATGGTACTCTTTTCTGTCGTCTAGCCAATACACATGCCAGCATATGAATGAAGAGTACCGAATGGAAGGAGACTATGTATGTATATATATACATATATTAAGTCCTATTTATCAGATCGATTTCAGTTTGTTTTTGAGGTTTATTAAAAACTGATTTTCCAACGAAGATGACTGCACAATGATATACATAAAATTTTCATAAAATATTTTTATGTTGTTATGAGAGTCCTGCTCGTCTTGGGATGGAAGGGGGTCTCTCTGCATTGTAGAAACAACAAAAAACCCTCAACCTTTTTTGTATTATGTCCAGCTACACAGGAAGTATGACCATATTAAGTATATGTTTATCTTTTCTGTTGTTCCTGGTAATGCAAATAAGCCTCTACCTCCCAGTTCTTTAGCTAAGCTTTGAGTTTAAAACTGGTGAACTGCAAACACCAAGTTAATCTACATCTACGAGCCAATCAGAATCAAGAATTCAAGGGCATGGCATCAGGGTTTGGATTGTTGGTACAACACATTGGTCCAGACTGAATCTCACTATCTACCAAATGGATTGACAGAAAAATTTCACAATCCGTGGTTCACTGACAATTAATATTATTATCTTCACTTTTCCTCTAGCAACAACATGAAGTCAACATTTTAGGTTATTATTGAAATATCTTGATAACTAATAATGTACTCGAGCTGTACTTTGGGTTCAGTGCCAATTAGCATTTCTGAGCATACTAAGATTGTGAACATAGCAAACATTATAACTGTTTGACATCAACATGTTAGCATCGACAGACAATAGCATTTAGCGCAAAGCACCGCTGTGCCTCAGCAAAGCTTCACAGAGCCTCGGCAGCGCCACAAGACTCGCTGGCACCTAGAAAATGTCGTTCTAGTCATTTCAGTTTATATTTGTATCTATATATTGACCAGAGGGCCTTCTCAAAAGCCTGCCATTGTTCTTTGGCTCCACCCATTATATTTTGCTTAACCACTGAGGCTATTTGTGCCAAGAGAGCAGCTCTGTCTCTGAGACAAGGCTTTAGATCTAAAGCTCAAAATTAGTGTTGCATCAACAGCAGAAGTAAGCCACACAGGAAGAGACGTGAGCAGCAAGACAACATGGAGGTCACAGCTCTCTGCATCAGAATGTGTGAGTACTGACTTTGTCTCTGTTTCCTGTGATATTTACAAAAAATGTATGATGAAGATATAAGTTTAGGTAAAACATAATGAATGAAGATACATTATATTCTGTTTCACAGGTTAAATGTAGAGGAACGTCTTGGTGACACACAGGAATGTGTGTTTATGACTTTACAAACTTTGAGCTGTAACTCGTACTTTACCAACTCATCATACATCTGACACTTTACTTCTCAGTGTCCTTGCAATGATCATGTGTGATCAAAAAGACAAAAATCATCAAAGCATAAAAGTGCTGCAGAAGTATCTTTGTGGTGTTTAGCTCTTGTCCTGTGTCCCAACAGTGATGACTCTGATGTTCATGCAGCTGGCTGCACATGCTCAGAAAGTTGGTAAGTAAAGATGATACAAAAACACAACAGTGTAAAGATAACTTTATTTCAGTAGTGTTTGATTAATTCAATGGCTATTGTGTATTTTTCTCAGGGATCTTTTCTGTTTCAGATGCAGATTTTTGGATCATTCCAACCAGACTGCAAGTCTTTGAATATGAGTCTCTCTCTTTTAAATGTACAGGCTTCAATGGCTCGACTAGTTGGAATATTTTAAGGAAAATCAAATCAGAAATTGCGATTTGTGGTTTTTCTAAGTGGGGAGTGTCAACTGAGTCATCCTGCACAATTAGAGGTGCTTTTCCAGATGACAGTGGAGAGTACTGGTGTGAGGCTGGAGGGGGAGAGAGAAGTAACTCTGTAAACGTCGCTGTCACTGGTATGTTTACATTGAAATAGAAAAACCAGTCCTAACTCATGTTTAATACTGAATAAATATAAAATACTTGTTGACCAGCTGGTTCTGTGATCCTGGAGAGTCCCGTCCTTCCTTTGATGGAGGGAGATCCTGCCACTCTGAGCTGCAGAAACAAGACAACATCCTCCAACCACACTGCTGATTTCTATAAAGACGGCCTCCTCATCAGGACCAGTTCTACAGTAAACATGACCATCCATAGTGTTTCCACGTCTGATGAAGGACTCTACAAGTGCAGCATCTCTGGAGCTGGAGAATCACCAAAGAGCCAGCTGACTGTCAGAGGTGAGACACCGAAGGGTTGCAGCATATTACAGTTATATTTTGTTTTAACCTTGAATGTGTGATGCTCAGCAGCATTAATGGAATGTGTTTGTCTTAAAGTATTTATAACCTAGTTGTACCTTTTGTAACAGATTTTTATCTTATATTTAAGAGTGCCTTTTCCTTAAGTAAGATTTTAACTGCTGGACTTTTCTTGTAGTATATTATTTTTACTTTTACATAGCCATTCATGTATTTATTACCACAGTTTATTCCTGTATACATCACAGTGTATATATATATATATTATTTTTTTAAATTTTCTAAAATCTAAAAAACACATTGAGTCACCACTGTATTGTCATGAAATAAGAATTTCTTTTGTAATTGCAGCACTTCACAGCACTTCAGAGACTCATCCATTCTCAGATTATTTGTTCCCCATCCTAAGAAACATTGTTCCCATTGTGCCGATGACAATGCTGCTGCTGTTGCTGGGAGCACTGCACTGTGGGAAGTTCAGAGGTAATCAACAATTTCCATAATTACTATATACATATATATATATATATATATATATATATATATATATATATATATATATATATATATATATATATAATTTGTTCTGGTGTCCCATTTATATATTCATCATATTGTAGTTTTGATTCACTAAAAGCTCAATTTAAAAAAGGTAAATAAACGTCTATACATGTAACATGTAATTAATGAATGCTTGTAATTGTATCTCCTGATTCTCTAAGATGTATTTCATTTTATTAATTCATGTTTCTAAGGGTCCAGAAGCAGATGTTCAATGTGCTGCGACTGCATCGAGGCATGAAGATTCTCACAAGTCAAATGAAGACAGTCTACAAACCACAGCTTCTACTTTGAGTAACGCGGACAAACACTTTGTATCTCTAGCATCTCTACACCTCTATGAATAGACTCTGTTGTGTGTTTGTGGACACATGATAAATGTGTCACGCAATTATTAAAATTCACCTCATAATGCATCATGCATGGCTCACCTTCTGCTTGTATTATTGACCTAAAAACATATTAAAACAATTATTTTTGTATCATGATGTTGTTGTGTTGTAATATTTGAATATAAAAAGAGGTCTAACTCAGTTGTTCTCAAACTTTCTCTGTCAAACCCCCTTCAGAAGCCTATAAATCATGTTCATGCAACTTTAAGTTTGCTCAACATCCACAACCCCCCTGAAGTTGCTCTATGTCCCACCAGGAAGGTTTGCCACCAAGTTTGAGAACCACTGGTCTTACTGTAACATGTTTTATTGAAATATCTGTAATAACAATATTACTGTATATTGTATATTTAGTATTATTGTCTTTCTTTTTTACATACTATGAATGATGTACTGCAGGGGGTAGCGTACAACTGATCAAATGTGTCTGTGTGTGTGAGAGAGAGAGAGAGAGAGAGAGAGAGAGAGAACTACAGTCCCCTCCAAAAGTATTGGAACGGCAAATTCCTTTGTTTTTGTTTTTCACTGAAGACATTTGGGTTTAAGATCAAAAGATGATTATGAGACAACAGGAAATGCAGTCTTTATAGGTTTGAACCAAGGATGAAAACTTAGACTAGTCATGCAGAGCTATTTAATGTTTGAATAATCAACCTAAATGGTCAACAATAAGCATCTGTCAGTCACATGTGGGTGGGTTCAAACAAAGGGTGGTATGTCCTGAGTTGTTTCACACATCTAAATGCGAATACCGGGAAATAAGAACTGAAATTCTGAACTCTTGTTTCATACTCATTTTTTTTTATCTTAAACCCAATCAGTGAACAACAAAAACAAAGGAATTTGCTGTTCCAATACTTTTGCAGGGGACTGTATAAAGAAAGGAAAAGAAAAAAAAGGAAATCATGATACTGCTGATCAAGTCGACATGTATTTATGGGAACCTGTGGAATCACATGTGATAAGCACTGCACTTTTGAAATCAGCTGTCAATTAAAATAAATCAAGTAGCAGCTTTACAACTTAACTTCTGGAAAACGTAATTGTAAGCTACTATTATGTTCTCTCTCTCTCTCTCACAGGCTGCCTCTCTCCCTCCCTCTGTTACGGACACAAACACATCAGCTCTCTGTCACTGTCTCTCTTTTCCTCTCTCACTCTTACCTGTGACGTCTCATCTCTTTATTTTCTATTAACATTTTTCATACTGTATTTCCTCGGTTCTCTCTCTTTCCCGCTGCAGCTCTCTGTCAGGAGGCTACTGTGCTGGCATCACAGCAGCCATTGTTATTTCAAAAACGCCTTTGTTATAGATAATAAATTCTCATGATCATTTGCTGACTTTTAGCAGGTTAGAATTTAATTATTCTATAAAATAGTTAAAAAAAATAAATTGAAATTAACTTCTCTGGTCTGCTGCTGCCTTTGTTGGTTAGTTTGAGTTATTTTGTGACTTTGGAGTTTTTAACCCTTTTAAAACAGTGTGACTAAGAACCAAGCAGGAGACTAGCAACTCCTGTGTTCTGCAAGGTTAAATTACTGTTTTTGACAAGGGAGTCTGGAGCCTTTGACAAGAGCAATATCGTGAGTGATCATCGCTTGGTATATCTAAATAGGTGTCATGGGGATTCTTTCCACACTATTGTCAGGCACTAATATTTACAACCGAAGCCTGTGAAAAACAAGTGCTCTTAAAATACTAAAGTTACCCTTTAACATCTACTAGATGAATTGGCATATAATTGTGTACATACATTCATGGTTTCCAGATGATGAATATTAAAAGTAGCAAGAGACAGTCTCTGGCACAAAGGAAGTGCGTCAACCACTGCACAACTAAAAGAGGATAGATTTTTGCTGGCAGCTACCAGTAGCTATCCAGCTGTGGGAGAAAAAGTGAATGGTGGAGAATTAGAGTAACTGTGGAAACTGTGGAAAAATAAATGAGACTCACTGATGGAGGTAAAGAAGGCGAAGAGGGATGATTAACACGGCAAAATTTGGCTTATTTTGAGTTAAATAAACATACTTTGTTAAACGTTTAATGTGGTGTCTCCCTTTTGTTGTGGCCTTTTGAGCCAGGTCATAACACCAGGCTGCTAAATTTAAGTTTCATTGAGGAAACTACCTGAATTAACTTGTCTTTTGATTTCTAGAGGCCTTTCTTGCCATTAGCTAGCCACAGACTAATGTTACTAGCTGACAGGCAATCTAAATAGGCTGACACCGAAGACAATAAGAATAAATCTGTTGACCTTCACATGAACAAGGTGAACTTGTCTGTGTCTTGTGTTGTTGGTAGTTGTCAGAGGAAAGAGAACAGCAGCCATCAGCACCAACAATAACACCACTTGGAAACACTATGGGAGGAAAAGTTGAAGAGTTGTCTGTTAGTTCAGTTTAGGAGCAACATTAGGTGGATAAATGTTATTTTTTACTGAAATAGCGCAACAAATAATGAATTTCCCATCAGCCTCAGCTCTACTTTGGGTTTTGTGTTAAATAGCACATGTTAGAATGCAATGATGGTGGAAATGGTGAACATTGTATGTTTAACTCCACCATGTTTTGTAATTTTAAGCAAGCAGACATTAGCATTTAGCATCACTGTGCCTAAGCACGTCCTCCCGGAGCTGTTAGCATGGCTGTAACTATATTTGTTTTAAATTGTATTTGTATCTGTATTTTGACCAGATGTCCTTCTCCTAAATAAGTCTGCGTTTCTTCTTTGGCATTATCCACTGAGACTTAACTTAACCTCTGAGGCTATTTTCTACCAGGACAGCAGCTCTGTGTCTGAGAGAAGGTTTTAGATCTAAAGCACAAAATTACTTTTGCATCAACAGCAGAAGCAAGCCACAGGAAGAAACCCGTCCTCGCCCTCATTACATTTCAGTCAGATGTTCAGACTGCTGTGAGACAACATGGAGGTCACATCTCTCCGCATCAGACTTTGTGAGTATTGACTCTGTCCCCATTTCTTGTCTATGTGATGAAGCCAAGATGATAAAGAGGTTATTTGAAGTTAAGAAGGCTGTAAAAACAAAATCTGTGATGTTTCACAGGTTTCATTACAGGAGCCTGTTGTTGCAAAATGTGTTTTTGGCTTTAAAGGCTTTTAGCTGACATTTTATGTTTTTCTGTAAGAGTAATGAGATTTAATGAACAACACGCTGACCTTAAAGATAAATATAGATTCTGTAAACTTGTCTCTGTTATGTTTAGCTGTTTTCCTTTGTCTCTCCAGCGATGAATGTGTTAATCCTGCTGTATGCACTTGATCAGAAAGTTGGTATGTACCTTTAGTTGCTCATATATATTAATAATTAAACATTTTTAAGGATCCATTTTATTGTGGCAAAATGTTAAAGAAAAAACAGAAATAGAATACATTGTATCATCAAGATTTTGGTGAACTGGCCCTTTATGAACAAAAAAATTACTTTGTTTACCTTTATAATATTTTATATACAAATACACTCATTCATTTTTTTTGGGTCTATAATTAAAACTACATTAACATCTATGTGAATTGACAATTTTTTTTTCTTTGTTTCAGGTTCAGTGTCTCTTCATGTCGTCCCAAACAGTCTGCAGTTCTTTGAATATGAACCTGTAACTTTCCATTGTGAAGGTTACTCTGTCTCACTTGCATGGAAACTTGTACATAGATTAAAAGGGGAAGTTCTCTCATGTAGAACTACAAGTAAGGTGACAACAACAGAGTCAACCTGCAGCATTACAAATATATATCCAGAAGACAGTGGAGAATACTGGTGTGAGACTGGAGAGGAGAAGAGAAGCAACAGCGTCAACATCACTGTCACTGGTATGTTTGCATTAAGACAACAATCTTTTGTCATAAATTGACCACGAGTTTAACATGAAATAAATATCAAACACATGTTGATCAGCTGGTTCTGTGATCCTGGAGAGTCCTGCCCTACCTGTGATGGAGGGAGAAGCTCTGACTCTGCAATGTAGAGACAAGAAGACTTCCTCCAACCTCACAGCGGATTTCTATAAAGATGGCCGCCTCATCAGGAGCAGCTCTACAGGAGACATGACCATCCACACTGTTTCCGTGTCTGATGAAGGACTCTACAAGTGTAACATCACTGATGTTGGAGAATCAGCAGAAAGCTGGCTGGCTGTCAGAGGTGAGACAGCAATGTGATGTAAATGACTGCTGTAGCTCCACAGACTTTGAAGCAGAAGTTTCTGTTTCTTGATTTCCCTGTTACCTGATTTTCTGCTTTACCATTTAACTGTTTTTATAATTAGAATGTAGTGTTTATAATGTTTAGATTTGCACTGTTGGTTGGACACAAAGCATTATGAAGTTGTCACCTTGGGCTTTGGGTAATTGTGATGGCATATCTCACTATTGCCAGAATTTTAACAAATAATCAATTATTGAAGAAAATAATCAGCAGATGAATTCATAATAAAACTAATTATTAGTTTCAGTCTGATATGGAATAGTTCAAAAATAGTTCCACCCCAACAACAGTAACAGTAAAATCCTGCATTATACATTAATGCATGAGGAATAATACTAATGACATAATGTAAACTTCTTTCTGTTCTGTTAACCTCAAGGAAGCGGGTAAAAAATTACCCGCCATAAAAATGCTATGATTTTGTGATTATTTCTGCTACATGTTGCTCCAACACACTTTGGGAAACATTTAGCACATTGGCTGTTATTTCCTATAAACAACATTTCCATATTTCAGGCTTTTACAGAAAGTTTATTCTATTTTATTCATTGTCTTCACCGTGCAGGTCGTTTACCTGTAAAGGGCACGTTCTCACGCGGCGGCTCTCTTGATGTCATCTACTTGCGCTGTTATAGATGTTATAGCCTAGTTATATTCTAAACACATCTTGAATTTAAATTCAGCATACAATTTACAAAAAACGACTGTTGTAGTGTTTTATAGGCGGTAATAATAATAGCCTCATAATGTCGGCTGGTTCTTACTGTTCTGCTTGTTTTTTCGGACTCCCATCGGGCATCTACACAGGAACACATAGCTTCAAAAGTTTGAAAGTCCAAATGAAAATGGGCAATTTTATCGAAAGAAACGATTATTATCAATTCCAAAATTCATGGTAGATTTTTACTCTACGGAAAAATGTATACACAGCGCTGGAAAAGTTATAGCGGGTCAAAAAGCACAGGAGGGAGCCGCACGCTCTCTTGAATTGACCGCAGAACACACCTCTATCACAGGGAAAAACTATTTGTTTTGATGAACATGTAGAAACACAAAACCTATGAGCAGCGGCTTTTATGCATGTTTACTTCATACAAGTGGAAGCTGTCAGATGCAGAATCAACCCAGGACACATCGCTCAGCCCACCGTCAGACTCTCCTTCACTCACTGCGCTGAGCAAGTGTGATGTCTGTAGTGGGAAACACGTTGCCAATAGCTACATAGAAGGTTTATTCAAACGCTAATATTATCTAAAATGACTGAATTCTCAGGGGTAAATTTTACCCGCTGGTGCTTATAGGTATAAATGCCCATTTTTTAAATCTGGCTTTATATTGACATTTTTTAACAATAGTGGTTGCTACATAACACACTTTTAGGAAAAGTGGGGGACTTGAATATTATATTGAAACAAAGATACATACAATCAAAAAACAGCCGCGGGTAAATTTGACCCGTTGGCGGTTCTGAATAACAGAATTTTAAGATGCTACTGAAAAGGTGCATGCAGCCAATCTGTTAATCTGTGATTTCATGTTATTTTAATCTTACAACGAATAACAATATTACATTCTGAGTCACCACTTTGTCTCGTGACATTGCAGTAAATACCTTCTGTTGTCTTTGCAGCACTTCACAGCACTTCAGAGACTCACCCATTCTCAGATTATTGGTTCCCCATTTTAAGAAACATTGTTCCTGTTGTGCTGACGATAATGCTGCTGCTGCTGCTAGGAGTACTGCACTGTGGGAAACTGAGAGGTAAACAACAATAACTCCTGTCCACTCATATGTAAATGTCACTGCCAAAATGAAAAAATGGGTTGAAAGACTACATAGTGACGATATACTGAAAGTTAATTCGGCTATTAAGAAAATATAGCAGTTAACATCCCATAATGTTTCATCTGAGTGCACAACGTCTTTCTTGTTGATCTTAGCATGTGTTATTATCCATGTTGTTTTATATGTTTATATTTGATCTGACATCCCATTTATATTCAGTGCATATTCTGCTAAAACATCATCATCAGACTGTAGTTTTGCATCAGCTAAAACACAATTTAGAAAAAGGAAACAAACATGTAAATACAGTGTGTCTGATAGAATGATTGTAATTGTATCTCCTGCTGCTCTAGGACGTATATTTCATTGATTCATTGATTTATTAATTCATGTTTCTTAGGGTCCAGAAGCAGTTGTGTCACATGCTGTGACTGTACAGAGGCGTGAAGATTCTCACAAGTCAAATGATGACAGTCTGCAAACCACAGCTTTCTTTTCATTTATGTCTATATTTAATAATCCACTTTGATCCTAGCTCTGACACCCTCTGCAGAGTCACCACAGCATCTACACCTCCATGAACAGACTGTGGTTGACTGTGGACACACATATAAATGTGTCCTTCAATAATCTGCATTAAAATGGTCCTCAGAGCATCAAGTCTCCCTTACTGCTTGTATTTTCTGTGACTAATAAAGCAAAAGTTTAAAAAATGTATTGGTGTATCATGACCATATTTTGTCAAAATATTTGGATAGAAAAGGAACATTTTGTTAACACTTTAATGCCAGTAAAATACCTAAATCAGTAAAATGGTTGTCTCACTGTATGTAACTATACTGTGACTGTGACTAAACTGTGTTTAAATATGTGTAATAATATTTATGTCTGGCGAAAACACATTTTATGTACTGTGAATGGTGTACTGCAGGAGGCAGCGTAGAATATGTGAATCAAATGTGTGTTAAAAAGAAAGAGAGACAGAGAGAAACACTGGGGAAAAAATGAAAAATAGGTTATTATGATACTGATAATATATGATCCCAGTGTGTCCCATGTATTTGTGGAAACCTGAGGCATCACCTGTCATGAAGGGTATTATCACTCTTATAACATGGCCACTCACCAACAAAATGCCAGATGTTAAAGCCAATATAAATTACCCTTCCTCTGTGTAATTATAGAACCATAAGTTTTGCATTTTGAGGAAGCATTTTTAATGATTGCTTTAAAATCAAAAACGTAATTAACCTATTAAAACAGAGTATAGTGCTGCGTCTATAACATACTTAGCTCTGCCCCTCAGACTTTTAGCAACATTACTTCAATACTCCTCTCTGTCTTCCAACAGTTAGTTGATTTGGACTTCCATATTCGGAGAAATATGTTCGATGGATTGGCACAAAAGTGTGTGCATATACTTGCATGGTTCTCAGACCATTAATCTCAACACTGGGATGTCTATGACGGTCATTTTCAAACTTTTTCAAATATATATGTACGATAAATTGTTAGATAAAAAATAACAATACTGCTGGTAACTGACTTTTCCTAAAAGATTGTATATGTTCATTTAAAATGTGATTTTTTTTACATTTAATTTTGGTATTACTTATTAGATATTGTGTTTGCAGTAGTAGTATAGCAGTATAGAAATTGTAGTAATTATGTAATTCCAGCACTTGTACTGCTAATGACTTCATACAAGCTTTAGTGGCACCATGAGGTTATCATTATCTTTTTTTTTTACATTTCAATATGTCAAGAACTAACGACATCTTTCAAAACTAAATTCACATCACCTGCTTGTCTTCGTCACCATGTTTTTTATTGTGAGCTTGTTGGCCTGCAGATTTTAGCATTTAGCTCAAAGTACCAAGCACAGCTTTCCAGATCAGCTAGCACAGCTGTTACAGACCCATATCTTGGTTTAAGCCTCACAGACACCTACACAAAGTAGTTATAGTCACTTAAATTTATATTTGAATCTATATTTGCTGAAACACTGAGGCTATTTCTGCCAGGTCAACCGCTCTGTTTCTGAGAAAAGGTCATCAAACTGAAGCACAAAATTAGTGTTGCATCAACAGCAGACATAAGCCACACAGGAAGAAACATATCCCCACCTTCTTCTTCTTCTTCTCACACTTCAGTCTGATGTTCTGACAGTCAGTAACGAGACAACATGAAGGTCAGAGCTCTCTGCATCAGACTATGTGAGTACTGACTATTTGATAAAAACAAAACCATAAAGAGGTTGTTAAAATCAGTTATGAGATTTAATAGGAGTAGCTGTAGGAATCAATAAAGCATGTAGATGCTGTAAATGAATTTCTGTGATGTTCAGCTGTTTTCATTTGTCTCTCCAGTGATGAATGTGTTATTCCTGCTGTGTGAACCTGATCAGAAAGTTGGTAAGTATCAGTTAGTTGATCATTTAATTTGATCAAATATTTACCTTTTTGATGAATGCATTTCATTGTGGGGACGTGTTCGTTGGAAAGTATTAAAGAAAAGAAGAAAGCAGGAAAATGTCTTCTTTTGAGATTTTGGTGAACTGGCCCTTTGTTTATCATTTTTATGAACAGATACATTCATTAGTTTTTATTTTGGTTCTGTTATTTTAGAACTATATTCCAGGTGTTTATATGTGAATTGAGAACAGATCTGTTTGTTTTCTTTGTTTCAGTGTCTCTTCATGTCGTCCCAAACAGTCTGCAGTTCTTTGAATATGACGCTGTAACTTTCCATTGTGACGGTTACTCTGTCTCAACTGCATGGAAACTTGTACATAGATTAAAAGGGGAAGCTCTCTCATGTAGAACTACAAGTAAGGTGACAACAACAGAGGTGACCTGTACCATTAAAAATGTATATCCAGATGACAGTGGAGAATACTGGTGTGAGACTGGAGAGGAGAAGAGAAGCAACAGCGTCAACATCACTGTCACTGGTATGTTTGCATTAAGACAAGAATCTTTTGTCATAAATTGACCACGAGTTTAACATGAAATAAATATCAAACACATGTTGATCAGCTGGTTCTGTGATCCTGGAGAGTCCTGCCCTACCTGTGATGGAGGGAGAAGCTCTGACTCTGCAATGTAGAGACAAGAAGAAGACTTCCTCCAACCTCACAGCGGATTTCTATAAAGATGGCCGCCTCATCAGGAGCAGCTCTACAGGAAACATGACCATCCACAGTGTTTCTGTGTCTGATGAAGGACTCTACAAGTGTATCATCACTGATGTTGGAGAATCAGCAGAAAGCTGGCTGGCTGTCAGAGGTGAGACAGCAATGTAACACAATAAAATAATGTCAGATTCCCAGGGTACAACACTTAAATGGTTAATTTAAGTCTCTGAAACAAGTGAATTGAACTGGCGCGGGGATTTTTAGAAGCTCTGATTTGAAAGTTTTTAACAGTGAAAATATGTTTAGAGGTATGTTTATTATCTTCCCTTTTTCACCTTTTAATCTTTGTTAACCATAGTTTCTTCCCAAACTGCACAAACAGCACATTACAAGTTGGCATACTTTCTTTTCTATTCCAGAAAAACCCAAAGAGCCCACCTCTCTCAATCCTTCCTCCTCCAGTTCAAATCCATGGATCATTGTTACTGTTTTATTGCTGATTCTGCTGTTTGTGGTGGGACTACATCACTTTGGAAAAGGTTATTGGCACAGAGGTACAGATACATTTCACTAACAACTTTACTGCTATAATCATTCATATCTTCTGCTGTGCTGCGTATAGCAAGAGGTCAGTCAAACTGTAGTTCTGCTTCTGATCAACGACATATCACAGTCTGTGCACTGCAGCATAAAAGTGGACGCCCCTTAAGTGGCATCTCTAATAATAATAATAAAATATATATAGTCTCTTCACTCAATACTCAGCAGGACTTCACTAATGTATGGAGCTATAAGTAGGCTAACTGAATTTTCCACAACATAGTTCTGCAAATATTTCACAATTAAAGTCTTGTCAACAAGTTAAGGTCTTCTATCCACATTAACACCAAGTGGGTTTTAATTTGAAACATTTACAGGAAGTGTTGAGGTATTTATTTTTATCTGTGACATATTGTAGTCAGTCAAATTTCCAACATTTTAAAATTAATCAGGTATCAAACTGTAGACTGGAAACAGCAAACAGCAACACAATGAACGCATTTAAATAAGCCTAATTATATTAGGCCGATTGTAGAAGAAGAGCATTTAGTCGCTATAATTAAAGTTAAAAGTGAATTTTTCATAATAACGTGTTAGATTTATTTCCGCTACTGAAAATAAGCTCAACCCGTGCGCTCCCTTCCTGGACCCCTGCCCGGCGAAACTATTCTGCTCAAAAAATGATATTCGGGCCAGCTCTACTTATATAACACCATTCATCACATAAATAAAGCTCAGGAAAAGAAATGTAAGTTGCTATGTTTGCTGTAAAAGTTTTTTATGCATTTAACTTCTGTTGCTGGTTTTCTGTTGAAGCTGTTATTTTCCCTTTCTTGCACTGCAGCATGGCTCTACCTCTCCACACTAACACTTGGATCAGGCTCAGCTGAGGATCGAACAGGTGAGAAAAAAAACATGTATCACCATACAGCATTTTTTTTGGCATGCTAGTAGGAATGCAAAGTTAGATTTACCCTGCCTTCCATTATTAGGATCTTAATATAGGTAAAAATCGCAGACTACAAAGTGCTTTACACAAGAGGACATTTTTAAGAAGTCTAAAAGTAAGTTTAAATTAATTTCATCATGTCAGTGACCTCTTGAACTGGTGTAATCTCTGTGTCAGATCTGAGGTAGGAACCCACAAGCAAAATCAAAAAAGAGTATTCTGTTGAGGTGGTTTATTGTGAAACACACTTTCAACAGGCAGAACAGACAAGTTGGGGGGGGGGGGGGGGGGGGGATTAGTAATGATGAACGGGCTAGCAGATCCAATAGAGTGGAAGTGGGCCGGTGGTGAATCCAAAAAACTAAAAGTACGCCTACCAGAGAGGACCTGGTCAGTTAAGCAATTGACACATTTGGGTTGTGAGACGTGATGAAGCACAAGAACAAGACAAGAAGATTTTTTGCACTATTTAGATTAAATAATGACGCAGATGCTCACGCTCGGCTCTCTGATTGGGTCTTATAAGTAATGCAAAGCAGAAACACGATGCTACTGAGTTTTTGAGTTGGTATTTTTACTAAAATCTTCAGTACCATCTGCTTCATGTTTACACCGACACGCGCATCAGTGTACCTGAACGGCCAATAGATGTGCGTTTTCAGTCGTTTTAATGTAGACGGAGATCAACTCTGATATGCAGCTAAAATGCTGGTGTGGACGGAGATCGTATTCGTTTTAATTTTCCATTTGTAAACTAAAACGGAGTAGTGTGCATGGGGCCTAAGACTTTCAATATTGAGGATCTGATGTTATTCAAGTCAGCTGTCAACCAACAAGCTAAAGTAAAGTAAAAGGAAAAATGGAGAACGAGGGAGATAGATGTTCTATCGCCCCCTTCTCTGTTGCACTTGTCACACAAACCTGGCTGAGTTCAGCCCTGACAAAACGTAGCAAACCAGTGCAAAAGTATTTGGATTGAACTCGCCCCAGATGGAAAGTAACAACTTCGATCGGCGCCGTTGAGCCAATCAGAATTCAGCTAAACAAGGATCAGTCCACTGAGGGGCCACTCGTATCCCCCCCACAGTAGTGAAAGTGTTAGTTTGGCCCAGACTGACAGACACACAGTGTTCTGCTGCAGCTGACAGGGCGGCCAGTGCGGTCGCAGATCATTTTAAAACATTAGAAACTGAAAAATGCCAGTATTTAGGGGCAATAAACGTCAGAAAATCCATATGAAACTGTGGGTTGTCCCTTCTCTTGCTTCTCCAAAATGTAAAGTAAGAGGGCAATTTTTTAGTTTTAGAAAATAATAATAAATTATTGTGTTTTTCGGGGTGCTTGATGAATTTTATGGTCAAAAAAATGGTTTAAAATTGCCCCTGCAGGTTACCCTCACAGACTCCACTACAGAGAGACAAAGAGAGAGAAAGAAAGAACACAGACAGACAGAAACAGACCACACTCACTCACAAACCAGCTGTCACAAGGCAGGTATCACGGCAGTGAGGTTGTGACACACTGCGTCATTTTTTGTATGACATGGGAAGACCCTGTCCTGTTACTCATTTTGAAACAAGCAACAAATTAGCCAATAGGCAACATGTCTTTCCTGTTTGTTCACAATATGTACTTGTGTAAATAGTTATTTGTCCATGTATTTGTCTGTCTACATTACCTGCCATGTGAATTTAAATACTTTTTTTCTTACTCTGTAGAGTGTGCAGCCGAAGTGACATATGCTGTTGTAACAAAAAACAAAAGGATGAAAGGTACTTAACCAGACACTGTTATTTTTCCTTTAACTTTACGAACTTCATGTCAAGTGTGTAACTGAAAAGCAGTGTGGGTAACACAACATCTACATTGTATATTTAATTTAACAGCTCAAAATTTTGGTTTAGAAATCCACCGCCATGCGCATTAATGTTAACAATAACAGAAGTGTTACAACATTTCTATGCAGTAGGTCTGTCTGGCATTGTCTCAGTCTGTGTGGGTGCTGGTGGTATTTTGAGCTTCCTGAATCAAACCACAGAGAAAATAAAAGGTTGAAGTTCCCATCAGAAGAGTATGTACAGTGGAGGGTGTGAGTTTGCTTTGTACAGCACAAAAGGGTTACCTCTGTAATTTAAGATATGCATTCAATTTGAAGTTGCACACTGTTCTTACACTCTGTTTTGCTCAAAAATGTTTAAGTTTAAGTTTTGCAAAAATTGACTTTATACTTGTGTCAAGCCCGTGATTATTAAACTGAGGTGGGTTTTATTTCCATTAAATTGTAGGAGCCTTTCGATGAGAAATGAAATATGTGAGTTCAGACATGAGATCGAGATTTTAAGAAGCAGTTGTCCGGTAGAACTTGCTCGCATATGTAATATTAGAAAATAGGAGAATAGAAGAGCAAAATCCCGGCCTAATTCAACCACTGGTGTCATGTAAACCTTCAACAGAAAACAGAAATCTATTATCGAGTTAATTTGCATAATAACAAATCCTAGATTTAACTAATGGAAAAAATCCAATCAAAGCAAAAGCAAAATTAGATTTGAGCCTTGTGGCTACCAATGTTGGGAGTAACGGGTTATAAAAGTAACGCAAAACACAGTAATGTATTGCTTTTTGCTGTAACGCAGTAATATAATGTATTACTAATTACTAATATTATTCCACAGTTTACAATTTCTGTAAGGTGCGTTACAAAGCATTTTAACCCAAAATTAGGTGGTCGTGTTTTTTTAATAATTCAACAACACCGAGAAACATTTCAGCAGCCCGACAGGAGTGTCGGGGTTCGAATAATCGATGATGTTATGCTGCTGTGCCTCCTGCGTAAATGCGCACGGCGTCTTTTTTAATGGGGAGACAAAATATACACCATAGAATTCCTTTCATTTTAAAGAAACAGTCAGACATTTTGGGAAATATGCTCATTCACTTTTAGGTTAAATAATGAAGATCACTGCCTCTCTTAAACCTGTGTGTGAAGTGTGTAGCTGGGTCAGAAGGTAATTATCTTTGCTTAACATGATGTTTACTATCCAAGATGATCATAAAGCTAAGCAAATGTAAACACAACAACTTGTGGTATTAATGGGAGCTACATACAACAATTTCTTGGCAAACAGTGGGCAGAAACTTCAGACTTTCATTTCTACATTTTGTTTGTGTACAACTAAAACAAACAGTATTTGTCATTTTATGAGCTTTAGAGAAATATTTTGTAAACTTTGGAAAGAAAAGGGCTAATTGTTTCCCTCTGCTTACAGACTTTATGCTAGGCTTAGCTAATCTCCTCCAGGCTCTAGCTCCTTACTTAATGGACAGATGTGAGAATGGTGTTGATCTTTTTATGAAACTCTTGCTAAGAAAGTCAGTATTTATTATTTTCCAAACACATATTTAAAATCAACCTTAAATTGAGGCAGAGCACCATCACAGATAAAATATTTATCTATCAGCTGAATAACACATTCTTTCTCTGTCAGATAGGGATGAATTGTCATGTGGACCTGTTTACTACACTTTGAGCCTCGGTGACACTCAACAACTGGGTGAGACAGACTAGTTGTGGTTAAAGCCATTTGAATGTTAGCTTCTAAATAACATCAGGGACACAACCAAATTTGTAATAAAGTAAGTGAAACGAGTGTTCTAGTAAGTGAATATTTTTACACACCGACATAATTCCATCTATTTTCAAAGCAGAGCCAGGAGTATCCTGCAACGCAGCGCTGTCATTTCCCTCAGAGGGTGTCAACCCACTTTTAACAGAAGATGCCTTATACTCTACAGTCCCGTAGGTAAGACTGAGGGTAATACTGGCTTTTTTGATCACATTCACAACCCATCTTCATATGGGAGGAATGAGAAAAATTGTAAAGTTTTCCTATGTATACAACTTTCAAGCGTTCACATCATTGGACAGCTCAAGATTGGTTGGATGATTGCAGAGTTGGTCACATAAGGGTGGAAAAATACTGTGACAATACACTATTCACTATACATGCATCTGCATTTAATTATCTTAATGAATCTTAGCTGACAATGGGCATCCATATTTGGTTAGTTTTCCAGGCATGTAATGATTAACTCTGATATGACTTTTATACTGTCACCAGAGCACCACTCCCAACAATTTCCTCTGTACAACTTTCGTCACAACTTTGATTGTCATGCTTTTCAAATAAGACTAATGTTTCCTAGCAAAAATGTTTCAATCAAATTTGGGAATTGTCGTATGAAGTCAGCATTTTTAGATTACCTTCATCATTTAGGTCTTTGTAAATGATTTTTGTAGTTTGAAATAGGCTTTATGTTAAAATGTGTGTAAAAAGTCACCAAATCCTACTTTCTTGGATTCATTCCTTTAGTTCTTTTAATACAGAAATACACCTCATTTGTTTTATAAAGTCAAGTCTTGAAGCAACATTTGGGAAGAAAAAAAAATTCTAGGCTTGATGATTTTCACATAATTTTTGACTTCGTCCATCTGCAATGTATTATTATTATATATTATATATATTTGTGATTGTTCTGTAAATCCTTGTGTCTTACAGGTAGAGGAGTGACAGCTGAATGAAAAGGAGCATTGAAAATTGTGTTCACAGTTTCACTCAGTGTACCTGAATTAGCAACCATAAGCTATGAGCGCAAACAGGAAAGTACTGATAATGTGATTTAATAAGCTATTTCAGGGAAAACAGTTTGCATTCTTTCAGCCCCATATATGTTTACTACATTAAAAATATATAGTAATTTCTATAAAAATAATGTGGAAAAACAAATTTACTTCAGGTGAGTGGCGTTAAGTTGTTACTTTGAAGAGCAATACAATAGTGCAACTTGTTTGTCAACTGTCTGTACATTTATGAGAAAAGGAAAAATTGTGTATATTTGTATTTAAAAATTTGATTGTAAGAGGGTAAAGCATTTAAAAATGGAGAAATGTGGTTCACTGTGCAGCCTTCTGAGCTCTTCAGTTCAGTTACTAAAAGCATATGAGACTATGATAAACCGATTCTTCTTAAAAATAGACAAACTGTTAAACCAAGTTGTTCCATCCTCTGAGTCTGTTCACACGTGTCAGAATGCAGTTCACATGAACAGAGCTGCTGCTGTTTATAAATACACCCACTGTGGTCAACCGGTATCTAGTGATGCATCAAGTTTATCTGAAGCAGACACCTTGAGTTTGTGGTATGATACTATACACATGTCTTATAAAAGTCTTGAGGTCAATGATAAGAAGACAAATAATAAATGCAACTGCTATTACAGTGTATAAAAATAATGTTCTACTCGCCAAAGTGTATTTTTTGTTAAGTGCATGGTGTGTTCTGTGATGCAAAACACAACTCTTTTTTCAGGGTCCTTGTAATTTGACCAGCAATTTGATTAATTGTCTGTTCTTGTATTAATGAATGAAGGCAGCGTGTGTCATAATTAATAAAAAATTTAATCTTAAGCAAAGTTGGAACACTTCACACAGTTTAATTAAGAGACATATTTCTAAAACAAGCTCCTCCAACCTAAACAACAAAATAGGTCATTTTAACCGGTTGGTTGGTTCACCGGTCGACATGCATAAAAACACTGACTTGGATTTAGGCACACACCCCAGGAAAGGTTAGGGTAAGGGTAAGGGCCTACTGGGGCTGACAACGCCTTTAAGGCTAATATGATAGCTAACGCTACAAAGCAAATTGAGCTAATGCTAATTTAGCTACTGAAAACTTCTCCTGGGTGAAAAGGGTCCACCCAACCCACCACCACCAAAACATAACTCGCTGGCTCTTTATAATAGGTGGCTATCATTGTCATGTGTTTCCTTTGTACAGCCACTAGAGGTTGCTGCCACAATAAACGTAAATTAGTGTCACTAATATAACCGATATGGTGGTTTTTCTGTGAAGGTTCTACTTATACCACGGATTCCTGTCCCATAACTGCCTGCTTTAGCTGATTGTCTTACTATAAAATACAACTGATAAGTTTTGCCAGGTGATTTTTGTTTTAATGTTTAATGTCAGCCAAAGAATTGAATTCTCCTTGACAAATTAAAAACACCTTGAAAGACCACAGTGTACAATGGTGTCAAAGTAAAAGTATTCTAAGCGGTGGTGACGCCACACCTTCTGCCACAACTGAGTGAATGACATCCATGTGGTTAGCACGGAAAATCCAAAATGAATCAATAATAGAAATACTGCTTTGGTTAATTCCTCCTTTCAGTTCATGTTAGGTTACAGTGAGGTGAGATGATGAAGTTCTTGTCATGTTCTTGTTCATTCTGAGATGTTGGTGATTAATGCATGCAAGGACAAGCCCTGATGGGAAAAAAAGGCAGGAAGTATAACCGTTTATAGTCAGATGAGGTAACATGCCAGAAAAAAGTATTTAAGAGGTCATGGTCACTTACTCACTAACAGCAAATTCTGACATTATAGCACCTCAGAGGGTAAGAATCTGTCATTTTATTCAGTATTTTATCTTAGACTATTATTCAAATTTCACCTTGGAATGTATAAGAAGAAAAATGTTGTAAATTATGAGTTATTTATAAACAAAAAATAGAACATGAATAAAAACAAAATGTCTTTACATTACTAAAGAGTAAATGGTCCAAATAGCAAAATGCAGTTAAAATATATTTAAATGTTTTAACAGCAAATATGTAAATGAAAGGACTTTTTAAGACTTTCTTTAGGTTTTACTTTGTTAAATTAATTCTCTATTTGTTGGAATAATATCATCATCAAATTGCATGAAATGTAAAAGTAAATGTATATGACACGCTGTGAGACGGTTTTGTCAGACAGGGAAGTCCGGACTTTCCAGAATTGAAACATTTAATGTATTCTTCTCTTCCCCGTCATCCTTTTTCATGTCACAAAAGAGGGAAAGAAGGCAGTCTTATAACTGAGATGGATCTGCATGAGGGAAAATGGAAATTATGTGAGTATTTTCTAGCAAAATTGATGTTGAAGACAGTTTTGTATAGATTTTCAATTGATCTTTTTAAAACTGTTTTGTGATCAAGTGAATATTTTTGTTGTAAATGTCAATCACGGGCCAGCTACTTATATTAAGCATCTGCGATTTCGGGTGTCTGTATGAATGAAACGATTACATGGTGAAAGTGCACACTTCCTCTCAGTGGTCATTTGATTTATCCCCTGTCAGCAATTCAGTCCCACCAAAGAGAGTTCTAGTTCTGCTTTACGAGGTTTAATCTGGTATAGTTTATCATTGCATGACAAAATGTGGAGAGGTAAATTTTTTGCTTGTCTAGAGGAATTAGACTTGATCAAAAAAAACTCGTCCTTTAAATGTTGGAACTGAAACTTTGACCGTAACTGTGATGCAGTTGGGGTTAAGTTCACATCTAGTGGCTCAAATAGAATTTGGAACTATAAACTATGTAGGACTTCACCACTTTGACAACTGTGCTTCAGGAAAAAGAGCAACTGCACTGACTCAATAAAGATTAAAAATCATTTGATTTGAAAAGTTTCCTGTTGGATTGTGTCTGTGTGTGTGTTTGTTTCCAGTTGCTGTCAGTGTGCTGCTGCTCACACTGTACCCAAGCCATTCTGCTGCAGTCAGCATGAAGGAGCATCTGGCTGATTGTCTGGAGGACAAAGACTACAATGTGCTGCTGCAGACTGTGCAGACCGGCCTCCCACACATAAATACATCTCACCATGTTGTTATTGTTGGAGCTGGTGTGGCTGGACTGACGGCTGCCAAGTTACTGCAAGATGCAGGTCACAAGGTACATGCAACAGACTGATATGCCATACATGTTATTATAAACACTACTGCACAACAAAGAATCATTTCTGTGCTATCAAAGTTTACAGGGCCCCTATTCAGTTTCCCCTAATGCACGTAACCACATTAGTTTGTGATCATTTGAAATGATTTGATTTGGGCACAGGGGCCCTCTACAATAAAGAGCATAAAAATCAGGTAAAAATGCAGGAGCCAACTTGAGGCCACTGCTGTTCATTTCATATTATGTGTTAGCGGTGCATAATATCAAACACATGTACACTTAATCAAATTAACACAATGGCCCTTGACGGTCTAGGGCCTGAGGTAGTTTCTTACTTTGTCTAGTTGGCAAACCATCAACTTAAAAAACAATAGGTAATAACTTTTAGTAGTAGTAAAAGTAGTATAAGTAGCAGTACTAGTACCAGTAAAAATAGTTGTAGCATCGAGAATAGTTTTTCAGTAGCAGTAGGAATACGAGTAGTGTTTGCATTAGAAGTCAGATTGATATCAGTAGCAATATTGGTAGTAGTAGTAGTATTAGCAGTATTAATATTAGTTAGTAGTAAGTCAAACAATAGCTGTAGTAGTACTACCTGACTGGCCTCGCTTGAATTATCTATTTGTATTTAACTGTCGACAAGGTAACCATATTAGAGGCTAGTGGCCGTGTTGGAGGACGGGTGGAGACCTACAGGAATGAAAAAGAAGGCTGGTATGCTGAACTGGGAGCCATGAGGATCCCAAGTTATCACCGGTGAGTTAATGTCAATTTTTTTAGGTGGTTGATTTGTAGGGATACCATCCTTACAAAGACCTTACAAATACAGGATAACTCTCCCACCATCTCCTCTGTCAACAGCATTGTCCGCTGGTTTGCTGATGAACTGGGAGTCAAGCTGAATGAATTCATCATGGATGACCCCAACACCTTTTATCTGGTTAATGGTTTGCGGAAGAGGACGTACACAGTGAAAACAAACCCTGACGTCCTGAAATACAAGGTGCGGAGAAATGAGAAAGGGAAGTCAGCTGACGAGCTGCTACAGCAAGCTTTACAGAAGGTAAGTAAGACAGAGGAAAATAAAGAGGGATGGAGTCAAAAGGCCTTGACTGAAACAATGAACTTACTGCTTTAGCCATTCTGAAATTTCATATGCCAGATCAGTATCACAAATTTCCACATCCTTGGAAAGTGGGTGCTGCAGGAAGCTTGTTCTCTCTGTCACTAACCAGATAATAAGTTAACGCAATTCAAGCAAATGCATTTGTCTATGCGCAGTTTATCATCTGCATAGAAGAGTTATGTAAAATCGGATGGTGCAGAAGAGCTTATATAAAAACAAATCTGTGTCAAGCTGAATCTTCAAAGAAAGCTTCTCCTTTGCGAGCAAATTCACTTATGTAGAAGTCCAAATTTAGCTGTAAAGTGTATGTAAAGATATTAACAGAACATTTAGCATCATAGTTATGTAATCACCAAAGAAGATGTGTCCTCCAGGAACACTAGTTCTGTATCACATTTCATGACAGTCAATTAAATTCTTCACTCTGGACCAAAATGTTGGATTTAACAGACACACTGGCTTTGACGCTTGGTGGCTTCAATTGACCTCATTCTGTTGTCTCCAGGATCTTACACTGGTTTGCTTTGCATGTCAGGCTTGGCCACTGAGTTTTATCCAGACAGATATCAAAGCTCATTTTTTTTGTGTGTGAACACTCACAATAACAGCATCAGTTCTCTCACATTTTCCTTTCCTTGTTTTTTTTTTAGGTGAAAGATGAAGTGGAGGCTCATGGCTGCTGGGCTGCGCTGCGAAAATATGACCGTTATTCTGTGAAGGTAAAACACCGTGTGATTTCATGAAAGGTTGTAAAATGAGAATCACTTGTGATATTTTCAGCCTG